GCCTCATACCAATAACACTTAACTCGTTATTGTTGATGATAATTTGTTTGAAAGCTGCACGACACGCTGCTTAAAAAGAAGTTAGCTTGGTTGCATATGTTCATTAATGGTTGCCAAACACATAACCCAGTTTTACAGCTTTGGACTTCTGATATTTTGAAAAGATATTGTTCTGGGAAATTAGAGTTTGTATTAAGTAGTTTAAGTAGTTGAGTGTCCATTAATTTTATCACAATACTAAATTTTACGGCTGCATGCAGTGTTTTTGGACATTTTGAACGATTTAAAGCCGTAAATCGAAGGCTTCTGAGTTACTTTAACTCTTAACTGCCAATCATAACATTAGAACCGATTTTATTTTAATGCTAGCAATCAATAATTACTGCTGGCTGTAATAAATTGAAATAAAGCAATAAAATGAAAATAGTAATGAATAAGTAATGAATCAGATAGGATCACTTTTTTTTCGCCGTTGTTAAGTGGCACGGATAAGAGGAAACTTTCTGTTTTCTGAATTCCGGTGAGTAAAAAACGGGCGTAATGTGGGCGACGATAATGAGCGGTAATAAAGCATCGAGAAATCAAAATTCGACACGAGCTAATGCGATTTCACGGCCGATAGAGCCGCGGCGAGTCAGTGCAATGGGCGCGCGTTTCGATGCTGATAAGTCGAGAATGTCGGCGAGCGATCGTCCGCGCGGATTATGGCCATTATCCGTAATTTTCTGCCGGCATAATTGCGGCTGGGGAAAAAAAAAGATGCGCGCGCTCTCGTGCGCGGTATAAATTATCGCCGCGGGCCGCTGAAACAAAGCGCGCAAATTAATTAAGGCACGTCCGCACAGTTTTACCTACTTATCTAAATGTACATTTGAAATCTATAGAAAATATCATATACGCCATCAAGTTTTGCGTTGATGTGAATTTGGTTGCATATATTACATTGGAACACTAACCGTAAAATGGATGATACAATGATATAGTTTTATTTATTAATAGCTCAGAGAATATTGTGTTAAATTCACCTCAAAGCGTTGAAATAACGTTACTGGGTACTTAAAGACGAATAAACTCGACATTATTACGTTTTGGTTTTGTTTCGACACTGCCCGGTAACATATATTAATGTTACTTAAACGCCACGTTAAGCCGAGTTCTTAACAACGACGCTAATCTAAATGCCCGCAAACGTTATTCAACATTATTCATTTTTACTGGCTGAAGAACACGACACGGCACGTTCTGCAACCGCGAGTTATCGCAGCGCATTAATTCCTTGTTAATAAATTAATTACAAAACTAGCAAAGTAACAAATAATTAAGAAAAGAATAAATTTACGAGTTGTGTTGTTTCGTTTCATAAGCGAAATACTATATATTTAAATGTTGGGCGTAACATAAAACTTATAAAAATGATGATAAATAATGTTTCAACACGTTTATACTGTGTTTGCAGATTAGAGTTTTTAATTAGATTAATTAATTACGCACGAAACGCCAGCAGTTATTAGCGCGGAATTTTGTAACGCGCGGTCATTAAGTTTAATTAATAAAATCATTATTTTGAAATAACGTGCTGAGTTGCGTTGGTTTGAGGTTATCTCAAGTTTTATTGCGTCAAATGAAGCAGTTAGCAACGCACTTTAACAAATATTATGATTAAATGTATGCAACCAATTCTACATTTATTAAAATTCTAGCTTTTGACCGCGACTTCGTCCCGGTAGTGTTTAATAAAAATATAAATCGTTTTTACTCTCTTGTTCTAGACATAATAGGTATGTGTCAATTCTATCAATAAGATTCGAAATTTTATTTTAAAGATATTAATTATATAAAAAATTGTTAATAATGCAGTTCAGGGCGCTATCTCGGATTTAACTATTTAACTATAACTATGATTGAACCTCAATACCAACTTTTATCCTATAGAAAAATGCGGTTTTTAGGATTTTCCCGGCAATTATTCGAATTTTTCTCGCCGTAAAAACTACCCTTGGACTTTAACGAACATTTTAAAAAAGAATTGGCTAAATTGGCCAAAGCGTTGTTGAGTTATGCGCTTACCAACAGATTTTACGCTTCATTTTTATATTATAGATTCAATTATTGTCAATCAAGTTGCCTACATCGGCTGGAATTTTATTAGTTATAGATTTATCATAGTTTTGCATGTGAATGGCGTTTTTAAATTGATTTTCGAGTTTGTTATGTTAATAATAATTGGCTTATGTCACAGAATATCTCCTTGACTAGCGACGAGTACGAATCTGACACATAAAATTTCGTCGCGATAAGATCTGCGGTAATAAATTAATATCAGTAATAAAAGTTTAATAACGCCCCGGCGAGTTAGCGACGAAAGCGTCCTGATTAATACACTGAGTGTTAATAATGCGTGTAATACGACTCCGAGGTATTTCCATCGTGTCTGCGCGTAAACTCGACGAATTTATAACGATTTCAAAAGGTCTACATTTATCAAAACGACGCACGCGGCAATAAAAATATTCTCGTCTCGCAGCGCGCGGAGTGTTTTGAAAGGTTTAATTCGCTGCGATTGATTCGATTCGAAAATAACCAAAATTAGAAAACCGGCCGAGAGATGCGGTTCAATCAAACTTCCAATATCCGACGCTCGCCGTCCCGAACAAACATCAGCGATATGTAAGCAAATAAAACTCGTTTTACGTACGCTTTTAGTCGTAAAAATCCATCATCGCGCGTCCATCCGACGAATTGAAATTTAATTATGTCGAGCGCGCTGGAAATTTCTACGATTCGAGGCGGCACGTTCCGACCCGATCCGAGATTTAATCGAATAAGACATCCAATTAACAGGAAATGAATTATATTTTAAATGCGCCAATAAATTCGCCTCTCTTTATTCAATACATACCCGAGTGCAAACAAAGTGAAATTGGTTGCCTACGGTGTTGAAAAATGTGCCTGAATAAACAAAACGATTGCATTAATGCAAAACGCGTAAATTTGTGTCTCATTTGCGCGCAAGACTGCCGCCGATTAGTTCGGCGTTAGTGATTTAGCGTCGTGCGCGCATATGCAATGTGAAATTAATTGAAATTGTCGAGTACTTAGAGAAGTAATTTATATTGGAAATAAATACATCAGCGGCTATTAGCGAGCGCGTAATTTATGCGCTCGCGTGGAAAATTATAGAGCAGGCGACTCGAATGCACCGCAAGCTGAGGAGAGCCAGGCCAACAACGTTTTAATATATCGATGATAATTTCGTATGGAAATTGCGTCCGTAATAAACGATTTTCTGTCTCGCATCGCGACTGCGAGCGACGTCCGCTGATCGGCGCGAGAGTTATAGAAAAATTATTATTTATCAGCTAAACGAAATTGTAATTCCTATTATTTTCGATTTAATGACTGCGGCCGAGTGTTTTATTAAGTATTCAAGCATCAATAGGCCTGCCACCAGGATGGTGGTTTTGTAATAATGAGTTTTAAAAATAGTGAATTCCTAAGCAGACAAAATCTATGTTTGGTAAGTTAAACTAAAAATCCAAATCAAAACATTGCAGTTGTTATTTGTTTGACAATACTTGTGTTTTATCACTTGCAAATAACACCGTGCAGCACAAAAATTGTTTTGTTGTGTTTATTTTGGTTTTTTGCTTGGATTTATCTTATAAGAAGAAAATATATATTTATTTTGAAACAAGCATGCTAGCGACACCTACCGTTGAGTTTCTGCAGTTACTACTACTACTTTAACTCGACTTGGAGATGTCTCTAGCTGTGTCAATGTTGATTTGATTCTTGACTTTTCACTTGACTCAAGATTTACTAATCAAGATTATAAAGAACAATTTACAATAGAAAACAAGAAACATAAAGCATTGTTTGGAACAAAGTAGTTGACTTGCTGACTATACTAATAACGTAATGTAATGTAAGTTGATTAGTCATGATAATTGAAGCATTCTTTGTCTTCTACAGGATTTCATGCAGTCACCATTTAGTAATAATATTGATTATTCGAATGCATTCACTAATGAGCTCACGCAATGTGATTGTAAAGATTAATTAATTTGTTTATAGTCTACTATGTATTACAAGACGCATTTATTCATGTAATAAAAGAACTTTAATAAAATTTTTAGAATTTACTTCGTATAAAATTATTGCACGTGACATTGTACAATAATAAATTAGTCATCATGTTGAATTGGAGTGTTGAATTTATGATGCGTGGAAAATTAGTCATTAATATTTAAGTTTCTCATGACTCCAGAGAAACTTTTGTGCGAGTTGCACAGATTCTAGCATGTAATATATTAATATTTCAAATGTAATAATATTATAAGTTTACGTCATTGGCAACTGATAATCATAATAAGAAGAAATGCAAAAAATGCGAAAAAGTCGATCCTGCCAGGATTCGAACCTGGAATCTTCTGATCCGTAGTCAGACGCGTTATCCGTTGCGCCACAGGACCCGTTGAAAAGACTGCCCCAGTTTTGAAAATCGGCGGCCCCTAATTTAGTACTCGTATAACCCAACAAAAGTAAAGTCATGAATCTGTAAATTATACTTAAATCACTTAAAACAACGATTCCCCCCATCAACTGATATACTTAAACCATTAATCATAAATTTTTGATGAATTATATTACTTTCAGTAATAAATTTTAAAATCTTGTAAAAATATGCTAATAAATTATTTTTTTTGCATTTACTCTATTCAATTTGCACTATTAAATAAATTATATTAAGATTTGGTTGGATTTGTTCTATGTAGGCAGAAAATTAATCATTAATAAATAATTTCTTGGTGACGTAAAGCTTTCGATGAAAACTGATTCACTTTCGAAACACAATCAATACTTAATAATAAAACAAAGTTCTAAATATAATTATAACAATTATTTTCCATTATATCTCAAAAGTTTTCGAAAGCAAAGATATAAATACAAAATTTACATTTTATTTCACTTGTATAATATTTTCAATTGTTCAACATGAATAAAGCCAAATATCAACTTTATAAACCGATAAAATTATCAATAGACTTTGTGATACATTGTAGACATGACTTAGCAAAGAAAAGTCTCCTCTTACCCAAAATAATCCTTCAAGGATTATGTGTTTGGCCTGATGATTCCAGAACGGCTCTCAAAAAATGGACAATTATTGCAGTTCTCATAAGTTTGGGTATAATGGAGGTCGGACATGTAATATACATCATACTGAATATCACAAACATATCCAAAATGGCGTCAGCCTGTACCACTGCATCTACCACTATTGAGACAATGGCAAAACTAGCAACCATGCTATTCTATCGAGATCCTCTAAATCGTATCCTGGTAATAATCTGGCACCACTTCTGGCCTGCAAATATTGCATCAAAACAACGCCAAGAAGAAATACGTTCACGCAGCAACTATGTCACAATGGTTGTATGCACATTCCTCACAATGGCGTTTGTTTCCTGCGCTCAGTTCATGGCATTTCCTTTAGTTTCAACATCGACTAAACAACTACCACTTCAATCTTGGTATCCATTTGACACTCATGTCAGTCCCATTTATGAGATGATGTACATTTGGCAATGGTTCATGAACCAAGTGGTCATTTGTGTCTTAAGCGGCTTTGATGCGTTCTTCAACTCAATTGTCATGATCTGCGCGTGTCAGTTTCAGATTTTGCAGGATGTTTTAGAAACAATGTGTGATAAAACAAAAGGTAAAAAGTGGAAAGAGTTCTTTAAGAATAAGAAAAGCATTACAAATCACATTGATGAATTTAATATTATGATTGAATGTGTTGAACATCATTTACGGCTTATTAGGTACAAAACTACCGTATTAATTTCACCCTGTGTTTAATCTGCTTATAATTTTAGGCTGTGTAAATTAATCGAGACAACTTTTCGACATATTGTGTTTCTGCAGTTTGTTTTCAGCACGTTGGCAATCTGCGTTTCATGCGTTGCGTTAGTAAGTTTATTTGCATTGTAATGTAAATATTATCTGGGACCTGGGGGCACTTTACAGATTGCAGATCCATCGTTGTTCCAACACATGTTTAGCTACTGCGTTGCTCATCTGCTGCAGTTCTTTATTTACTGCTCCGTTGGAAATGAGCTAACTTATCAGGTAAATACGCACTGCTGGCATTAACAACTATAACATCATATCTTAATCGTAAAATTTTAGAGTGGAATGGTAGCTGATGCAATCTACAATTGTGACTGGGAGACTACCGTTGATTCCAACTTTCGAATGGGAATCGTAATGATCCTTCAACGGGCTCAAAGACCTGAAGCACTCACAGTTGCTGGATTGATGCAGCTAAGTTTTGCGAATTTTGTTGCTGTAAGCTGATAATAATTGCACACATGATAGCTGTTCATGTATGAATCCATTCATTTTTAGACTGTGCAGCTCTCTTTCTCGTTTTACACACTGTTGAATTCATTCGTTTAATGACGCCGTTTGAAATTCAGGTTTTATTATGTTGGCTAGGCGTCATCTCTATATTTTTGAATTTATATTTAAAACGAAAAGCTTACGCAATTGCAGTTAATTTGTTTATGTTACATGTAAATATATAGGTGTAGGTGTCTATTATTCATACTTTCACGCTCCAATCACTTTGCAAACTTCGAAATTCAATGATTTTAAAATAAATCAGTAATTTTTTTCATGGCATAAGAAGAATCTAAAACATAACCTAATATTTAAACTTAATATTTTAAATATTTTTTGTTCTGAACTGTAGGCTTTGTGAGGAGTTGTTTTCGTGCATTGTAAAAAGCAATATTGAATATTAGCTGATGATTAATTTGGATTATGATCAACAAACACGCACTATGACTGCAGCAGAGATAATTTCAATCTATTAAGTAATTACAAATGACTTATAGCTTTTACGCATATTATGCATATGAGAATAAGTCGCTTCTCAGTACAAATATTCATTCATCGTGCGTCCGCGCGTGCGTTTACATTTAGTTATAGCAAGTTTCTCCGTCAGCTGCGAGTCGAAAACAAGCGTGTGCAAGGTTAGATATTGTTAGGTTTACCAACTGATAAAAAGCCGAAATTTAATGCGCCTCAACGTTATTATATCAACAGATGAATAAGATAATGGCCGAAGTCGACGTAAAAAGTGGTCTGCGAAGTATCCTACAACGAATAGATGCTGCATGCCAAAAAAGAAATCCAGTAAGTTAAAGATTGAACAAATTTATGCTTAAAATATATTGGTTATGATGCAATTTGCAGGAACTGAGATGTTTAACACCTCGCCTCGTCGCTGTGAGCAAAACAAAGCCTATTGAAATGATCATTGAGTGCTACGAGGAAGGTCAAAGACACTTTGGTGAAAATTACATCCAGGAGCTGGCTGAGAAGGCAAACAATAAAGACATTCTTGAGAAGTGCAAAGAAATCCAATGGCATTACATAGGAAATGTACAGAGTAACAAATTGAACAAAATCTTAGGCATACCGAATTTGTATATAATAGAGACTGTGGACAGGGAGAAGATTGCAGAAGCATTGAACAAATCCTGGCCAAAGTTTAATGAGAATGGTGAAAAGAAGTTGAATGTGTTTATTCAGGTGAATACAAGCGGAGAAGAGGCTAAGGGTGGTGTTGAGCCCACCAATGTGATTAGCTTGGCAAAGTTTGTGATTGAGCAATGCCCAAATTTAAAGTTTGATGGACTGATGACCATTGGCAGATTTGATTACAATGTTGAGGATGGCCCAAATCCAGATTTTTTGTGCTTGAAGAGATGTAGAGACGAAATTTGTCAGCATTTAGAAATTGATTGGAAAGATGTCAAACTATCTATGGGAATGTCTGATGACTTTGAACATGCTGTAAGTTAATGAAGAGATTTTTATATTTATGCAATGCTTTACTGTGTTTGTTTTCAGATTGAACTAGGAAGCACAAATGTAAGAGTTGGTAGTTCTATATTCGGTTATCGACCACGGAAAGTATAAAAGATGCTAGGATTTATTTTCTAATAATGGGTATTTGATTATTGTAAATAGCTGTCAACATCTTTGACAATAAAATTATAAAGGGAGTTCTGATGAAAGTTAATTTTAAATGTATAATAAAAATATGTCTCTATGCACTCAATAATATCTAAACATCATTAATTCTCCCCAAAACGAATCTATATTGGTCAAATTATAATGTTTAAAGTAATTGTTAATGTAATGTTTGGATTCTTTGATATAAATAAGTTTTCCAATCCTGTCAATTCCACCCTGTCATTTCTATGTATAACAGGGAGTTGAAGGGGGCAGTTGCTAATTTTCGTTCTCTTTTTTGTTTTAGCAATCGCTTCCGAGTTCCTATCGCAGTCTTGAGCTAAATTTGAATGACATCTACCGATGTAGAATTAAATTCTCCGTCGGGATGTCCTTGTCTGTTGCAGGAATTTGACCTGCAGTCCTGGAAAATTTGCATAAAAAGGTGATTTATTGCTTTGTCACCTTTTTTCGAGAAATACTTGTATTTTTACGGGTTTATACGCGATCTTGGTGGCTCAGTAACTTCAGCTCGGCCTCGAAAGAAGCGGAATTAAATTCTCTGTCGGGTTGTATTTGTTAGCGGTAGAAGTGACTCGTGTTTAGGGCACCGTATGAATGTAACGGTAGATGTGGCCTGATAGAGGTAGTTTCCGACGGAAAATAATATGAATGAATGAATATTTAGACGATTTTTATTAACTAAAATGATACAGGTATTTAATTTCAAGAGTAAATTACCAAAGAAGTAAAATTTAAATGTTATTATGCTTTTTTTGTAGTTGATGCAATTTTTAAAAAAATGTGATTTTAAGACAAAAATATACTTTTATTGACTATTTATGCAGTGTATTATGTTTATTTATTACTGAATCAATGAATATTTGCATTAAAATTGCAAAATTTATTTCATTAATTTTGAATTAATGCATATTACCGACATCTACATTCGAAGCTTTGAGTTATGTATAAAAATTGCTATTCGTTTAGATAGGGTGGTGCACGAAGTATAGATACACAGGAGACCGAACGTCATGGTAAATTAATGGTCTCAATCTAGGGAACAGAACATTCGCCAATAGAGGGCACCACTATGCGCAGTGTACTTGTTTAAATGCTTACTTTGCTATGGAAATTGCCGGAAAAAAATTTCAACATGAAACAATAATAATCACGACTAATAGAACGACTCAGGAACGTCATGTAAACGGATTGTCTCAAAGTTGCTATGGACACAAACCAACGTACATCGATTCACTAGGGTTTCAAGCGCAGCCAGTGGCAGAAAAGGGAACTATGAGCTGTGTTTATAATTGTGTACCATGACTACGACAAAAAAGCCTATACCGTTCGGACTCCTTATAGACTGGTTACATGGAAAGATTGGGAGAAGATAGATGAGTATGAACAGCAGGAAGGCAAGAAAGTTGGAAAGCCCAGGGAGAACATTGTTGATATTCAGGAGATGTTAAAAATTGCTGTATAAATATATATTTTTTATGATTAAAGTCGAATCCTAAAATATCATACTAAATCCACTTCAAAATGCGATAAATGTAATGCGTTCTAGGAAAAGTAGAGTATTTGAGTGTTTTTGAAATAAGGTATTTAATTTAATTAAGATATGCGGTTGTGCAATTACATATTGTTTCAACATTGAGCTTTGATCATAAGTAGATAATATTTGTTTGATAATGACTAATGACTATAAATTGACGTGGTGCGTTAGAATCGAGTGAGTTTTGCTTTTAGGTTTATTAAATTGCTTATATTGTATAGAAATTACGTATTTGTAAATGAAAGTAAGTAAGTAAAAAAGCAAATCTATCACTATATAATAAATTGTAATTGTATTGCGAAATGTTCTCTTTTCCGAATCTACAAGAATCTCAAATATCTGTTTTAGAATGAATCCATTCAAGTTGTTTAATTTTGAAATATTAAATCAATATGCTAACTCAAAATTTTATGTTATGTATGCAATTTGTACAACATGCAAGAATTGGTTGACTGGAGAGATATTTCTGTATTGGGATCGAACATATTGCGAAATATGTTCTATACACAATGACAGTCGACGTGATATTGCCTTAGAAAATGTGCTAAACCAATGCCTTTTTCCATGCCAGTATGAAGATTGCGACTACATCTTGAAGAGGAGCCAAGTTGATGAACATACAACAAATTGCAAACATAGGCAATTAGATTGCAATTTATGCAATATGGAAGGTATCAGTTTAAATGAATATGAAGACCATCTCAAAAGCAACCACAAGGATAAAATAATCGACTTGGACAAGCCAATTTTAGAACATACGCTGGACGCAGCAACTAAAAATGAAATTTTAATTGCTTGCCTGAACCAACATACTTTTCTAATTCACATTAAACGAGACAAATCTAAATTAAGTGTGAATATTGCACGTATTGAAACATATGATGACTCAAATATAAATAATAACTTTACAGTTGGTTACAAACACGATCAACTAAAACACAAGCAGTTCACAGTGCTGTCCGCTATTAGGTATAATTCAAATCCTAACGTTGATATTGACGTGCCGCAGAATGGAAATCTTTTGTTAAACATTTCTTTATGTGGGTTTGAAAATGTGATCCACTTGCCAGAGTGTCCAATTTGCAATTATGAGTTAAAGTTAAAGTCTATCAATGTCCTAATGGACATAACGTGTGCAATGGATGTGGGAAGAAATTGAACACGTGTGCTATATGTCGGGACACCTTGAGTGTTGTAAACCTGCGTTACTTATTTCCAAGTACATTATTAATGTTATGTTCAAACTATGAGAATGGCTGTTTGAAAATTGGCAACGTAGGTGATTTAGATGAACACATCAAGAATTGCCTTTATGCCCCAATAAAATGTGTTAAATGCCAGCAGGAATGTTCGAGACGTAATATTTTAACACATTTTAAAGAAAAGCACACAGTCTTCAGAAACTATGTTGTTTTAATCGTACCGTTAAAAGAAGTATCTGTTCCAAATTGTCATAAATATTATTCTTTTAAAAATCAATTATTTACAGTTAATTTTAAAACTACTGGAAGTGGTAATAAGCAGAAAATATGTTTCACGGTGCAATTATTATACAATGAAAATATTGAAGTAGCTGCAAGGTACAGATATGAAATTCATATAATTCATAGATATCATAATGAATCTAATCATGTACTAAAGGGAGTATGTCAAGTCAAAAGTGATAAAGATACATCATCATGGATTTATTGCAAACTATGTCCTATACAATTTAACGAAAATAATGATCCATGTTTTTGGATTATGTTTGGAATTGTAGATAAAAATGATAACATGTAAAATGAATTGTAATAACACTATATCTATATATGAGCCGCTTATTTTGAAAGTGGCCTAACTCCATTTATCTTCAAATCGAGATATTGAAAGTTTTGCGTTTCAATGAAAACTTTTCTAAAAAGGCACTAAACGACACTAAAAAGAGAAAAAGAAAAAAAAGAAAACTTTTTTAGAGAACACTAAGAGCCCCCGCACACTACAAACTTTTTATCGGCCGATAGTTTGGTCGGGCTTATAATCAGTATGAAGATGTATGCAAGTCCGCATACTACAACGATTTTGTATCGGCCGATAAATAAGTTTGATGGGCTACCCAACTGCGTTCAAACTAAACTATCGGCCAACCAGGCCAACTATCGGCCGACTGCGATATCAGTATGGAGCTCGTCGCAAGCGCGCACACCGACCGATTGTTTAGTCGGCCGACTCGACCAATCGTTCAGTTCGCTCCGTGTTTTGGTGCTAGTTTTTGAAGCTACTTATGGTCATCCGATAAAATACGAAAAAAATTTTCGGGTAATCTAGTACTTTTGAATGCATCGTGTAAAGTTTTCCATTTAATAATCTATCACTGTGGATGGGATGCACCCAATACTCTCGGACTCTCTTCTTGATTTTTCTCCTCCGTTGCATCAGAGCAATTATAATATTTCTGGACAATATTGTACTACTAGTAACTTTCATTATGCGACCGCTCTCTTCAACGGTAGCTGACAAAGTAAAAATAGTCGGCCGACTGTTGTGTAGTGTGCGCACTCACCACAAACCCGTGACGGCCAGACTTTCGTCATTTTAGGAAAGATGAAATTTTGTCTGTGTGTGTTTCCAATACGGGTAAGAACGATCCCCAATTATGAAACCTGGATCGTGGTTCCTTTGGCAGTGGCCGTGTGTCACACGTACACGCAACTGCGCATGCACCACCCTATCTAAACGAATAGCAATTTGTATGCATAACTCAAAGCTTCGAATGTAGATGTCGGTAGAATGTATTAATTCAAAATTAATGTTGAAATATAGCGTACAGTAAGTGTTTACTTAACTTTACTTAGTTTACTTAACTTTACTTAGCTAAAAATTAATGAAATAAATTTTGCAATTTTACTGCAAATATTCATTAATTTAGCATCAAATAAACATAATACACTGCATGAATAGTCAATGAAAGTTATAAAATCGTTATAAAATCACATATTTTCTTTAAAATTGCATCAAATCTCTTCAAAAACTACAAAAAAGCATAATAACATTCAAATTTTACTTCTTTGGTAATTTACACTTGTAATTAAATACCTATATCATTATAGCTAATAAAAATTCTCTAAATATTCATTCATATTATTTTCCGTCGGAAACTACCTCTATCAGGCCACATCCACCGTCACATTCATACGGTGCCCTAAACACGAGTCACTTCCACCGCTAACAAATACAACCTGACGGAGAATTTAATTTCGAATCTTTCGAGGCTAAGTTGAAGTTACTGAGCCGCCAAGATCGCGTACAAATCCGTAAAAATACAAATATTTCTCGAAAAAATGTGACAGAGCGATAAATCAACTTTGTATGCAAATTTTCGCAGATTGCAGGTCAAATTCCTGGAACAGACAAGTACAACTTGATGGAGAATTTAATTCATCATCTCTTGATGCTCTGCTAAAGTTTGTGCGCCGCGAACACGAGTGTATAAAAGAAGCAAGTTATGATACATTGCCAGTATTTTATGCGTTGCAACACTTTGACAAGGGCTGACGAAGATAATAATCTGCAAAATAAACTATATTGTTAAGGAGAAATGCGGGAACTAGTGTAATTATTTATTGTATTTATAATCGGAAGTCGATCGACGAAGCGAATCAAATTCGCATTCAAATTTAGCTAATGTCTGCGATAGGAACTCGAAAGTGATTGCAAAAACAAAAAAGAGAACGAAAATTAGAACCTGCCCTCTTCAGTTCCGTGTTACAGAAAACGATTCAATGTTGTCGCTATTTGCAGAGAGCGCATATTTACAGAGACGTTTAGTGGCAACGGTTGCAATATAGTTGCGTAGTTTAGCCGTGTGAACAACGTAAAATTCCTTTTAGAAGGAAACGGTAATTTTGTAGATTATGGATTTTTTTAACACTGTATAAAAGCTTGGCATATAGATGTCGACACATAAGTTGCATGCTATTAATTTCATAACTATTGCAATATTTCTATTAAAAATGTTTTAATGTACAAAAATATACTATTTACAAACAATAACAAATAATTTCATACGTTATTTTATAGAAAACTTTAGCAAAACTACTAACAGTTTATGCACTTTGCAAACTCTGTTAAAATTTAATGGATTCGAGGAATGCCCAGATTTTCCCTGGAAACAAAAACACTCCAAACACATCAAACGATCCCCAACTATTTCTCCAACAAAGTGCGCTATTCGTTTCAATATAATAAATTAATAAACTAAATTAAATTATAAATTTAATTTTGCGGAAATCTATGTCAGCTTTATTTAATTTCGCAAAAAATGTGAGGAATGTTGATATATATTTCATTATGCACAGCAAGAATTTCAACATTGTGAATACGAAAAAGATTAGCTTCTCATATTCGAAACCCCTGAGATTTTTCTGTTTTCTTCTGCTTGGACACAGCGTGTTCATCGGTCTGCCCTCATCCCACTCACATGCTCATCTTCCCAACGATATCATTAATCATCTTTCGTGCTTCAGCTTACTCTGCGCTGCTCTCCGTGCCTGCAGTGTAACGACGGCACTCAATTGATTGATCGATCTGCGCTCGATCCATCGTTTAACAGACCAACAGTGCTCGTACAATATAGAAGCAAATGCTCGTATACTATTCACCTCCACACAAAACTAACTTTAGCAAATGAATAAATGCTGCGATGGGAGCCGAGTGCAGGATGCACCTTTAAAAATTGAGGGCAGGCCGCCGCCGAGCGCATGCAGATCCATCCTGGCGGCCGACCTGGACCACGCGCAGTATATATTGATTCAGTGTGCCACTGGGTCAACAACTCGTTGCATATTGCCAGGCCCCAAACCCTCCAACAATAAAAAACAATAAATTTTTATTTTTTAAAAATTTTTTGTTTTTTTGTGATTATAACACCCTGTATAAATAAAAAATATAATAGCTGCTCTTGGGCTGCCCTCGGCTCGCCCCCCAAAAGTGATGAATGCATGCAAGGACCTTGAACACGAACCTGCGCTTAGTATTTCGCTCTTTGCTCCCCGAAGATCCTTGAGCCGCCCGCTTTCAAGTATTTTCCGCGTTGCTTTTTTTGCACTTATCATGTTTTTCCAAGCGATTTACTAGTCAGAGTTTAGAATTTATACGCTAAGCCACTTTCAAAGTGTGTATTTTTTTCCAAGTTCAAACACGGGAACAGGCAAAGGTAAATGTTATGCAATCGATGTATAAAACGCTGGAAGAGCTGAAGCAGTGAGTAGGACACGTGTTCGTTTGCAAGGAATAATAATAAATCTTCGGACAAATGAAAAGTCAACCTAGGATAACGAACGAACGCGCTGCGAAAGAGATCACGAACAAGCGTTACTACTGTGATAATATTATTACAAAGATTTATTACACCGAAAAAAATTTTTGCGTTTTTTGCAATACAAGATGTTAATATTGATGTGTAAAATGTGGCATGTGTAAAAATAAAAATAAAAATAAAAATCGAAATTTGTGTGTGTCATCACTCAAAGTAGCTGCGAAGGAAAAACGAAATATTTGTCGAAAAATTAAGATTCATGACACGTGGAATTTTCCGACAGGCGCGCGCGTATTGTCTGAGGTCTGAGGCGTCCCCGCGATCGGAGGAAATTTGCGGCGGGCGGGAAATCGCAACGCAATATAAGAACTGTCAATATTCGAGGCGGAACATTCTAATATATCATATCGAAATTGCGTTCGCGTCAGACGTGCGCTGTCGAAAGTAAACTTTCGCCATTATTTTCACGCTTCGCGGCCTCAATGAGAGTGATATACGTTTGTTCTTCGCATCTTGACGTGTTCTTCACGTGGTGTGATATTTTTGGCGTCGGATTTCATTAAAAACAAAAAAATTTAACGCCTACACCACTAAAAATCATTATTATGAATTATTTCAGTTCTTATTTTAATTATTTTTGAAGTAAATTTGAAATTTTGGAATATTAACTGTAAATTAGTATTATTAATTAATTATTTATTATTTTTATAGTATATTAAGTCTCAAAAGACGAAACAAGAGTTTTTTTACAAGTTTTATGTTGCAAACAGTATGCTTGTGCTGCACCATAGCTAAATGCGCATGCGCAAGGTTACCCCGTGACTAAAACCCGTGACTAAAATACTTTAGTCACAACTTTGGCCGTCCGTGTTTAAACTTCCACTTTTTGTACCTAAAATCCGTAGAAAAACTTTCATTTCAAAAGTGAAAGTAAAAAAATTTTTATATTACGCAGAATTTCATCCGGTCCTGCTAAATGTATTAAAATTTTTGCCTTTTATGCACTTTATTCACTATAAAATTGCATTAAAACTGCACAACAATCCAATTTCGAATGAATTTGGTCAATCTTGAAGCCTAAGGCAAAATACTTAGTTTTAAATAGATTAGGAAACTTCACAAATTCTGTGGATGTTGGGGATTTGCCACGCTTTCTTTTTGAAAAATCCTCGATGTCAAAGTTTTTCCGCTGCGTCTTTTTCGCCTTTTTTCTCCTCTCTTCATCTCGCCTGCTTTAATTTTATTTTCTCTCGGCTCCCACACGCGTCCACATTGAATGCGGCAGATTTATTCGCCGGATTGCGTCGAATCTGCGAGTTAGTTTTACTCTCGGACAACTTTGCGACTGCTTTAGTTGGCGTGGACATTCACAAGTTGCCTTTGTTATTTTCAACACTAGCCAACACACACACAAAAAACACAAAACAGAAAAAAAGTACAAATGTCGCAGAGCGAAAGAAACACAAAAATGCTTTTTGTACATAAACATAATGTACGAGTTGAAATATAAGTTTAAATT